TTTTGTCTAACTTTACAAAAAATTTGCATTAGCATCCGAGCATCCAGCTCCATCTTGCTGGCTCACCTTTCAACCGCGACTTTAGTATGGACTTAAAGTAGAAGTCACGAAGGCTTCTGTGGTGAAGTGCTTTCTCAGAAATAGGAGAATGGACCTAACAAGGGGTCACTATCCCGAATCAGTGATAATGTCAAGTGATTAGAGAGGATTTGGATCGCCCGGCACGGACGCACGTTGCCTGAGGTGGATTGGCCATGACGATCAGCATCCCGCATGAGAGCGAGACAATGATATTGATATGTGGTGACGTACGGGAAGGCAAGATTCCACCAAGGAATAACTCGGATCCACCCTTACCTGAGTTCACTTAGGGGGATATGGGATATACTATGTACGGGTGGATCGAGTGTGGATCCTATGAAAGAATGATGGTAGGTGTCATCTGAAGGTGGATCTAGTATCCACGACTAACGAGAAGGCAAGATCCACCGCGAGGTGTCCCGGATCCCATACTTCCGAGTTCGGATCCAAGGAGGTGAGGATCCCGCATAGAGGGACCTGAATACAGGATACAGGGATGGTGGATGCAGTGGATCTCAAACTTTCGTGGGACAATGGAGATCACAGACGGTCACAAGACGATGTTGGAGGATTGGAGAGCTCAGATCCATGACGAGTGTACACTTACAGCAACCTGGATCCGGATGAGTGCACCCATAATAGGGTGGCCATAATGATTACGCCATGGATCCGGTGGATCTGAAGATAATACAGCTGGGATGATGGGTCAAGGAGAGAAAGGACATGCAGCCGAGCCTGGTAAGGGATTTAACAGGTAAAAGACAAAGAAGGTAGAAATCCAGGCAGGTATAGGGTTAAGTATCAATACAGACTTCTATTTGCACAGTGCCACGCAAGTGCCTTCCTGCCCTCAAGAATCGGAACTACATTGGCCGTACGAGCTCGGAGAAGGTTGGGAATTGCGAATCTAGTGTTGGTAGTGATAACTGGATAATACATTGGCCAGATCCTACAACCTAGTGAGCTTTTCCTTTACACGTGCAGATCCGACAGGCTAACCGGATTTACTACTTGGTCGGTTATACCCCAGAGGCTCTCAACTCTCAAGATCCCGTCACAGGAGGCGGCAGGTACGACGCAAAGGAAAACAAAGGCAAGGGAAGACACCTGCAAGGCAACCCTACGGCCAGATCCACGATCTAGGCCCCGGATTCATAAGCTCGAATATTCGCTTAGGATCCAGAATCAACCACGGACGCAGAGTGAAGAATTTATCACTGCTGCTCCACCCCGTCCCCACGTCTCGCCAAGACACTCAAGCTTCACCACTTGAGCTCTTCGGAAGTTACCGAGAGCAAGGTCCCGCCCTACCGACGGGTACACAAGGTGAGGAAAGTTTAGCAGTACACGGATCATCGGGAGCCCCCTCCGTTAGTCGGTGTCTGGGCGCTGTTGGTAAGTTGGATCCAGCAATCTCGCAGATTTTGCTGATCCTGCTACACCACAATGGTGCGCGTACCCGGATCTTTTGGTGACTCGGGATTTTACCGTGAGTCCCAAGAAGATGCTCAAGTGAAGATTGAGCCAGGAAAAGAGGGGTCGTCGGAGGTCGGATCAACGAAGACGCTGCTGAATGAAACAAGATCCGCGGATCGATAGAGTCCCGGGAGGAACTCTGTCGACGGAAGAGAGGTGAATCCGGATCTAGAAGAGAAACCTCTCTATCCACCCCAGGTCCCCTCGGGGACCCCTGCGGATCATGACTTGCGTCAAGATCCGCTAACAAAACAAGGGAAAGTGAAGGCGAAACGGTATGTATTTGCAGATTCACCGGTTAAGCCAACACCGTACCTAACCCAAGCCCGCTAGTCGAAGAAACGAGAAAGAAGACGAAAACGAGTAAGACTACGCGGCAGAAGATGCAAGCTCCAGAGTCGGAAGAAGACCAAGCTGGATCCAGGTCAAGCTGGTCCGACAAGGATCTCGAGTTTGTATATCGCCACCAAGCTCTACGCGACTTTCTGCATCAAGTTCCTGTCATGCGGATCATGAATCCACGACAGATCGAAGATCCAAGGGAACCGGTGAGAGCACGAACGAAAACGGCGAACAAGTTGGTGGCAGTCAAAAATCTATTACATTTGCTTACGGGTTCAGGCATCGTAGCTGGTGTGTTCGAA